TCCAAATTTTCTTTAACGGAGAGTCTCCAGACTGATCTGCGAGTGAAACCTTGAAAGCTTGCGAGATCAGGATGGTCTCACGAGGCTAGGAAACCGTCAGTTCTCCTCCAGACTTCATCCCCATCATAGCGTGAGGGTGATGGATCCTCCCTGTGTTCACGCCCACCACCAACACACTTCCTAGAAGACATGACACTAAATCTGCTGCGACTGCAAACCTTCTTTCTTTTTCTTTTTTTCTTTTTATTCTTTTTTTGGGGGGGGAGAACTGTAAACACCAGCTAGGTTATTTCCGCGATCAAAGAAATCTTTTTATGCAGGCTGGGCGCTTCCGGGCGCATTGCTGCCACCTTCAGGACACTGATTTATGTATCACTTCATGGGCATTATGCTGCCGTTCGTTATGCATGAGTTAGGCTGTCATTGGACATAAGTTCTGGACTCCTGTTTAAGCTCAAAACTGAAAAGAATGCATAGAAAATCCAGCGTATGCCACCAAGATTCCGGGACGTCGGGCATATGCTGGCTAAATCGGCAAGATGTGACAGGGGCCCTCAGAGAGCATTATTAAGCTCTGCAGGGATTCAGGGAGAATAAAGCAGAGGTTTCAGTTCCGATTGAAGACAAATCTGACCCAATTACAGCCATTCTGTTAGGAGGAACGGGCCACAACCCCAGGTTTGTTAGAGGAAAACCAAAAATATTTGACCCATTCAGGCAGTTTAAAGGCTGATTCCGCCTAAAACCAGAGATAAGTTAATAAACTTATTACCAGAATAAAGTTATTCTCTGATTCTTCTGATGTTCTGGACCAGAAGCGGTTCTGTTGGTCCAAATTAAGTGAAACCAGGAAGCGTTTTCTTTCCTGTTTCTGTTGGTTTCAGTCTGTTTATGAGATACAAGTTCTGATCGAATCCAGTTTGGATCGGTTTATTTGCTAATAATGGAAACTGATTTGGACCTTTTAGCATCTTCTCCTGAAGATGAGGCTGGAAGCACCTTCATCATCCCCAAGAAGGAGATCAGCATGGTGCCGGATATGGGCAAGTGGAAAAGGTCTCAGGTAGGATCCCAACCAGAACCATTCAGAACCCAAAGCTCCCAGACAGATTGAGGTTTTAACGGATGCTGGTTCTGGTTCTGGTTTCTGCAGGCCTATGCTGACTACATGGGCTTCATCCTGACCCTGAATGAAGGCGTGAAGGGGAAGAAGCTGACCTGTGAATACCCCGTCTCTGAGGTGAGCTTCCTTTGGTTCTGCTGGTATCTGATGCTCTTCATGGAGGATCGATGACGGGTCCGACTCCATCCTCCGGAACCAGTTGGTTCTGATGAATCTTCCTAAACTACTAACTCCTCCTCCAAACACGCCGGACAGGAAGCCATGAGGAGCTTCAGGTTTTCAGGAGGAACGTGGTTTGGGTCAGAACTGAACCGGTTCTGATGTCCTGTAAGCCGACCTGTTGGTTTTACAGACGGTGGAGAAGCTGCTAGAACTTCTGGACACTCTGGACCGATGGATAAATGAAACTCCTCCGGTGGACCAGCCGTCCCGCTTCGGCAACAAGGCCTACAGAACCTGGTTCTCCAAACTGGAGCAGGTCGGGTCCGAACCGCCTCACACATTGCCATGTTTTTACCTCACTGGTTCTGGACCGTGCTTGTTTGCGTTCCAGGAGGCCGAGGCGCTGGTGTCGACAGTCATTCCTGCAGAGAGAGCCGCAGCGGCTCCAGAGATAGCTGTCTACCTGAAGGAATCTGTGGGGAACTCGACCCGGATCGACTACGGAACCGGTAGGGGTCTGGGTCTGAACCCTGGTTCTGCTTTCCTGCTCAGAAGTTCCTTTGCTGTTTGATTTTCATATTCCTCTTTGTTTTAAGCCAAAGTAAATGTTACCAGAACCTTCTTCTGTCTCCTCAGGTCACGAGGCGGCCTTCGCAGCGTTCCTCTGCTGCCTCTGTAAAGTCGGAGCTCTGAGAATATCCGACCAGCTGGCCATCGTCTTCAAGGTTTTCAACAGGTGAGAAGTTCTGCCAACGAACCACAAAGGTCCAATTGGACCGAATATCATCCAAAAATCCTACAGACGACAAACTGAAACATTTCAGTTGATCAAACTACAGTGGCTGAGGAGGGCCAAACGTTGCGTGAAAACAGAATTCGTCAGCAAATTCTAAAAGGTCTGCAAACACAAAAAGGAGACGAAAATTTAAAGAAGTCCGGACAGTAAGGAATAATCGATG